ATTGTTAACTTTGATTTATATTTTAATTGCCCTTTTAACTAAATGAAACAGAGGCTATGTTTGGGAGCTTTTGGTGTCTTTTCATCTTATTAAAAGGGTCTATTCATTCATTAGGTGTTTCTATTTTTAAAGGTTGAACCTCAATCTTGAGAGTCCCCACCGTCCCGTTCTTGAAGTATCATGAGACGTAAATCGTGGGATGTGTCCCAACAAGTTAGGGAACAAGAGCTTGCCCTTACACTAAGCAACTAGGCCCCCATTTGGTTTACATAAAAATCAAATTTTTAGTGGATTTTTTTTGATAAAAGTTGTAATTGAAAAGTCGTGGATCACATAAAATGTATTGTTATAATTAATTGTTAACTTTGATTTATATTTTAATTGCCCTTTTAACTAAATGAAACAGAGGCTATGTTTGGGAGCTTTTGGTGTCTTTTCATCTTATTAAAAGGTCTATTCATTCATTAGGTGTTTCTATTTTTAAAGGTTGAACCCCAATCTTGAGAGTCCCCACCGTCCCGTTCTTTAAGTATCATGAGACGTAAATCGTGGGATGTGTCCCAACAAGTTAGGGAACAAGAGCTTGCCCTTACACTGATACCCACAAAGAGTCCAATTCCATATTTCAGGAATCGAACCCTTACACTACGGCTACCAGTAAGGCTGAGACTACCTCACTCTATCCTTTGCACCACTGGATTATGCCCCGGGAGCGGTGTTTCTATTTTTATATATTGGTGTTGGTGTTTCTAGATGGAAATAAAGGAGGGCTAACAATATAACCAATTACAAAACTTCATATCATCCAAAATATTCATAAATTCTTCGAAGCATTCGTGTCCTCAAAGGTTCTTCATAATTGCTTGGTAATCAACCTTCGAGGCTGGTTTAATCCTTGTTCTTATTTGCTGCCATATCGCGTAAGCAAGTTCAAAAACGTGAGAGAGCACATATCTATTTAGGATAGAGTATCATATACGTGTTCAAGCCTATCGAGTTTATTTTATCCTTTTGTGACTCTATTCTCCATTCTTGTACTTGTTGACTTATAAATTTGTGTACGAAATTTTAAATTCCGTCTCTCGAGATTTTTCAATGTTATGTCCATACAAGAAATCTACTTCTTCAAAGATCGCCAAATATTTATGACCGTGATGTGTTGTATATTATATCATTGAAAAGAGTTCAACTTGATTGGCGGTGATATACGTGTTCAAGCCTATCGAGTTTATTTTATCCTTTTGTGACTCTATTCTCCATTCTTGTACTTGTTGACTTATAAATTTGTGAACGAAATTTTAAATTCCGTCTCTCAAGATTTTTCAATGTTATGTCCATACACGAAATCTACTTCTTCAAAGATCGCCAAATATTTATGACCGTGATGTGTTGTATATTATATCATTGAAAAGAGTTCAACTTGATTGGTTCAACTTGATTGGCGGTGACTATTCCCCTCACACATTAAGCAAACTGTGTATATTTTAGTAGGGTATTAATTTCCTAAGAGGATAATTTGTCAAACTATGACAACATCACCATTAATTTTTAAAGGCAAGCGCATGAAATAAAGGAGCAATTTTGGTATATATCTGGATACTGACAAGTGTATGATGTTGTAACGAGATTGCCGACATCAAGTTTCGTGGATAATGATTCGTATTTTTCACAAAGAAATCTCTTATCAATGATACGAAATCCGTTTTGCATCATATCTATGTGATTCCTCGGTTTGAGATGAAGAAGTAATGTTACTCGATCATTATAAAGCTGACTTCAATCTTTTCCTATCCAAATCGTTTTGCGGGAGAAAAATATCATTTTATAATAAAGGGACGAAAATTCAATGTATTGAAAAATCGTGGCATAGAAAGGCAGCAGAACTAAGTTAGAGATATTTAAACCGTACTCGGTTTGCCCATTTTGCAAGAGCAATAATAAATAAAACAATAATTTAAAACAAGCAAAAAAGTATATAGATTGACGGTGATCAACCACAAAAGTGAAAGTTACGTCCATTGTCAGCACGTTTTTACTATAATGTCAAGAAAGAGTATAATATTTTTCGTTACATTCCTTACACACATGGAAATAGCTAAGCCCCATTACATCTTTTCTATAGTAGGAATATTAGCTTACCTTATAATAAGTATATAAAACATTTAGTCGGTATTTTAAAATTCATTTTTTCCCATGTTTATTTACAATCACAAATGTTATGCCTTGTTACTAAAGCTCAAGAAGAAGCCCACACGATAGTCAATTATAAGCTCAACAAAGGCTCACACTCCACATCATCAAAGTTAAAGATGGCGAAAAGATGCGCTTTGCCTCAATCGTAGCAATAAGCAACTAGAAGCTCCATGGTTGGAGCAAGGGGACGCTTGCTGCAAAACCACAAGAGAGATCTACCGTTTTAACCAAAGTGCCATGTAAGTGGCCGAAGCCCACATTATCGAAGCGAAATCCTCTTAACGATTCAGGAGAAGTGATACGCTGCCTCATTCGAGGAGTCATATGAAAGGTTGAAGCCTATATGATCGATACGGAAGTCTCCTAACCATAAAGGAGCATCTTTCGTACTCACGTCTCCTAAGAGATCTTCTGCATAAACATATGCGAATGATTGATATGACCCCTATTGTAGTAGAAGAAGAGTCGTGCCCCTTGAACACTTGATGCGATGACCTATGATGGGGCGCTTCAACTGTTAAGATGAAGTCACGTACCTCTTCATCCAACGGTCACAGCTTTAGTCAGGTCACCATAAAAGCTCGCAACTCACACTAACTCAATAGTAACACAATTTTAACTCTCAAACATTGTAAAATTATTCTCTCTCTCTCTATCTCTCTGTGTGTTCATACACTTCATCGTTTGAACCTTAAAACTCGTCCCACAGCTACTATATCTTTTCCCATTGACTAACTTGACTGTTGGAGTGTTCGCAGTCAAATCCCCTACAATCAGAGAAACTATGAGTGATTAACGATTTATCCAAATGTATAGGAAATGAGCCTACTTGGACTCAAGTGGGCTTGGAATTTGTTTGCCATGTCGAGGGTACATTTTTTGAGATCAACAACATTTTTTTAATAAAATAATTTTAAACGTAAATCCAAATTTTTTAATCATACATTCTTTATAAAATCATTATTACAAAATTTATAATCCTAATGTCGTTTTGCTTAGGGAAAGTTATTTGACCTAAGATTGTGGTTCAGCAAGGTTACTACATTGGGTAATTAGTATAAAACGTCAATATCTTTTAATGTTATTGTGTAAAATGTTCATACATTTTCATGAAATTTCTTGTGTAAAATATTAAATATACCCCCTATTTAAATAAAAACAATAAAAAAGAAAAGAAAAGTTAAAGAATAAATTACAATCATACTCCCAAACTTTTTAAAAAAGCACAAATGAGTCCAAATAAATTATTAAACGAGTAATTAGCACAAAATGTTCACACCTTTCATTATTATTTTGAAAAGCGTCCATCCTTTCATTTTTCAACATTTTCATCGTTATTTTTATATTTAATTGCAAAAATCATTATTTTCATCAATTTTTATTCAATTTCTCAATAAAAAAAATAAAATGACAAATATAATTTCCTTTTTAAATAAAATAAAAAAGAAGAGAAAAGATTTCACTGTGGATCAAAATCATGATTTTTGTAATAAAAGGTGAAAATAATGGTATATTTGTCATTTTACACTTTTTGTTTTATTTTATTTTATTTTTGTTTTATTTCAATACAATAGTATATTTGTCATTTTACACTTTTTATTGAAAAATTGGATAAAAATGGATGAAAGTAATGATTTCTGCAATGAAATGTGAAAATAAAGTTGAAAATGTCAAAAAATAAAAGTTAGAGACGTTTTGTACAATAATATTGAAAGGTATGAACATTTTGTGCTAAGTACTCTATCGTGAAAAGATCTTATTCGACGAAGAACCTCTGGTATTTAATTTCTTAGTATGCCACACAATTCAAGAAAAGAAATGTTGTTTACGAAATCGAAAATTAGTTTCATACTTTTCCTAGCAAGTTGATACCATAAATATTTGTCTTGAACCGGGAAAGTAGATATTCGACTCTATTATAACATATAGGGTTCCATCATTCATTGCACTTTCTAACAAATCTTGAGGTATACCTTTGTCTTACATTCTTTTAAGACACTCCACGCCAATAATAAAAAGTATGTATGATTATTGAATTTTTTATTACCTAACCTGCTCCCACTATAATCATAATATGGCCCTATAATTCCATAAGTATTTTGATAGAAGTCCACATATTTTAATTAAAATTGAAAAGTTAGCCCATATTTGTCATTCATTATTTTATATTCTATCATATTATTTTTTCTACAGTACTAATTTTCAATCACAATTTTTTCAATAAAATAATATTACACGCAAGCCAAAAGCTTTTCCTTCTTTTTTAACTACATAATCTACTATTACATAATATATTTTTCAAAATTAAAGGGTTCAAACACACCCTTAATAAAAGTTGTAGGTCTTGTTAATGTGTTGTCGAAATTGAACTGAGTCCTTGTTTGATCCCCATTTTCTTCAAAACATATTTTTCTACCTCTTTTTTTCAACTATATTTTTCAATAAAATAATATTATACAAAAATCCAAAAATCTTTTCTTATTTTTTACCACACATTTTTCATCAATCTACTATTTTCAAATGTATTCTTAACAAATAATGTGGTTCAAACATCTTCTAAGTTTATTAAATTTTGGCAAAGTTTTATCAAATGATGCAAAAATCTATGGATAAATAAATATATATACTGAATTTGGGTTACCGAATTGGTTACCTACTCTCACATACACGCGGGCCCCACGTCCATTTAAAAATTTCGGCGTGTGGGACCCACCCTCCTATCGTGTGTGTAGATAAAAAATTCGATAAAAAAGTGGATGTACGTCTAGGATTGTTCAAAATCTATACCGGCTAAGTCTATGAACTATACATAAAGGCCTATTTGCCATTGTAGAGTCAAACAATATGAATATTTCTGCTAAAAAACACTGCAAATTTTACAATGAAGAAAATGACCAGAAAATGGAGGTAGAATCTGAGTCTGTTTTACTTCCAGGCTTGCCAAATCATCTTGCTCAGCTTTGTTTTTCCACTCTCCATCCTTCTGTTCTCTACAGAGTGTGCCATTCATGGCGACGTTTGATTTACTCCCCTTCTTTTCCTCCATTTTTCTCTCTTTACGCGGTTCTTTCGCGTCCAAATTCTGTAGAGTTCTGCTGTTTTGATCCTCTTTCGTCCACCTGGAAGGCGCTGCCAAGTCCTCCATCGGAGCCACCTCTGTGCCTGCTCCGCCGGCATCCTTCTTTCATATCGAGATCTCTCCCCATTCAGTCTCTAGCAGTTTCAGGGCGCTTAGTTTTGTTATCCGCCACCACTCACAAGCTTCTTCCATCATTAAGTCACCCATTACTCTTCGACCCTTTATCCAGTAACTGGACTTTTGGCCCTCCGCTCTCTAATCCACGCCGCTGGTGCATCGCAGGTTCCGCACATGGTGCGGTATATATAGCAAGTGGCGTTGGTGCACAGTACCAAAGCGATGTAGCACGGTCTGTCGAAAAATGGGACATGAACAAGAAGGAAATGGACTGGAACTGGGAAAAAATGGCTTCGCTTAAAGACGGAAGGTTCAGCAGAGAAGCTGTGGAAGCAATCGGGTACAGAGACAAGCTTTGCATGGTAAATATAAACGGAAAAGCGCCCAAAGACGGGATTGTTTACGATTTCTTGACGAATCAGTGGAAAGAAATGCCACGGGGAATGCTTGCCGGATGGATCGGCCCGACTGCCGTGGATGGTGATTTCATATACGTGGTAGATCAGGAAAATGGTTCCCTTAGCAAGTATAATGCAGAAAATGATTCCTGGGAGAAGCTGATCGAGTTGTCGGAGCATCTAAAAGGTGCTGAATATATAGCTGCGCGCGGCGGAAGAGTTTGTGCGGTTTGTGCCGGCGGCGGAGAGATTATTGTGGTTGACATTTTAGCGACACCACCAAAGACTTGGGCGGTGACTCCACCGCCTGAATCGGAAGTTGTAGCTGTTCATATACTGCCAAGGATGACTCATTTTGAGAACTAATTCTCAAAGTTTATTTCCTACAGCCCAGATTATATAATATGTGTTGTTAGTTTTGTGAAGAATGTTGTCTTGACAGTTCAAGAATATATCTAGTGATCTTAACCAGCTTTTCATTTCTTGTTTTGATGAAGAATGTTCTCTTAAATTGAACATTTGCAGTTAAGAGTGTGACTAATCACTCTAGGATCAACTATCAATAGCATGTTTATGGAAGATTAATAGTTATTGATTTCACCTTAATCAGCTTATTCAAGAATTAAAATGAATATTTAAATTATGAAACAAAATCGAATTGAACCTTAATATTTACATTTGGAAATAAAGATTCAATTTATAAGATTCTTATTGGTTTTCCGTTTAGATCGTGTTGGGTAGGGATTAAAATTTAGAGTTTAATCTATGTCGAAGTAAACAATTAATTTTAATTATATATTTTATGAAATCCACAACTTTTCAACAATATATTTGATCAACTTTTAACAAAATTTGCTAAAAATATGATTTTAATTTCCATCAAACACCGACTTAGTTTAGTTCTCTCCGAAATTGACCGAATGGTTTCCATCTCTATTTTCATTGCCATTAAAAGTAATCATGCTATATGTACAGGAGGTTTGTCTTCGTTAGGCACTTTGACAGGGCCCAAAAACAATACTAATAGTCTATTTAATTCTATTTGTTGTTCAACATCCAATATACTATTGTCAACTGACATTCTGCTTGTCAAATCACCATGTACGAGGTGTTACACTCTTTTATAAGTTACCAAGCAACCTTGCCACATTAGTGTCCTTCAAGTATTTATCCAGCTTTCTTCCTTAGAATAAAGAGCAGTCTGAGGTGTACAGACACAGTACTTACAGGGTTTTATCGACCCCTCAAAAGGGTGGGGTCAGTTTTTTTTTTTTTTTTTTTTTTTATGGCATTAGGGCCCGCATGGAATCGACCCCATGTGAGGGGTCGATAAGACCCCATAGAACATCGTCCTGTACAGAGGGCTTTGCTCTAGAATAAATGAACACGACAACCTAGGAGTGGGACGTTGAATACACTGTCTTTTGTTAGGCGAGATTTAGACAGAAAGTACTTCAGCGTATAATTCTTGCTTTTGCAACATAAACTCCGTTTCGTGGGCTGGACCCAAAAAGTCACATCTATTAAAAAATAAAAGAGTTTCGTAATTACAAAACCCACTATCATGTGTACACGTGGTGTGTTTCAAAAATAATAATTAATAAGCCACTACACTTTAATAGTTAACAAAAAATATGATCAATCTTGCTATAATGACAAACTCAATAACAGGTTCAGTGACAGAGAAGACACATATTAATGCATGATTGGACGGTTTAGGAAAACAAACACTCAATCACTGTCTGCCACACCACTTTGTCACCTCCATCGATCATTGTCATTGACCGTGACCAAGTATCATTATTCTAACATGATAGTGTGAAGCCATCCAACGAGGAAAAAAAGGCAATCCAATATTGGATGAAGTTTTCTTGTCTTGATATATCAAGAGGATGAGGATCCTGTCTTTAAATGAGACCATGGCTTGATGCTTGAAAAAAATAAATAAATAAATAAACCCTATTTGATATAGATTTAACCACACTTTTTATGTAACTCACATTTTTTTAACTATACATTGAATTAGCTTTTATTAAAATTTATTGAAATTTTGATTTTTATGTAATTCAAATCGGGCTAAGAGAATATTGTTAGAGATTAAAATCTCCTTAAACGGAAACTAAAATAATTCACATATGTTTAAAGACAAATACTTCTAAAAAAAAAAAAAAACACCATGTTCTTGATCTATGGACGGTAATTTTGTATAGAGATTTATTTTTTATTTTTATCTTTTTATCTCAATTAGAAACTTTATACCTCGTTTACTTCAAAAAATTTTTGAAAACACTCTTTTCAGATATATAGATGACACCCGTAAATCACATAGGACATTTACATGTGAGCACACTAACATGCATGTACACGAACTATAAGTCTAATCTACATGTGTGTAAAATAAATATGTTCCATTTGTCGATGAAAGAGTATAACATCCTATCAAAGTAAAAATTATCAATTATGGCGATTCCATCGATGATACATAAATAATTGAGAAGGTTTTTAAGATTTTAAAAGAATTCGTCACTACTTTTGAAGCCTAAGAAGAAAATGCTTCTGGGTTAAAGGGAGAGTTTTAAAAAGGTGAACATAATACCAACCTAAAAGCTAATTAAAGCAATACAAGTCATTATTAAATAGGTTATTCATAAAGGTGAGGCGTGTATCCCACTCATTAATAAATGTTGAGTAAAACTTGTAATAGAGTCATCATTCACTGGGTGAATTATTGATTGCACGTCGGAAAAGGATAGGCGGATCTCCACTCAAAAATAAAAAATAAATAAAATTTCCAAGTTAAAAACTTACTTTGTATTTTTAAAAAGGAATTCAAGGAGAAGATTTAAGCAATATTTTTCAAAAAGAGTAATGTTATTTGAAGTTCCTTATTACTGAAGTCGTCTTACGTGATATATATGTGACGATTAGTGATTTGATATATTAATAAGGTTGTTTTTATTACCGCATACCACAAATCATTAAACGACACATGTATTCTACATAGGACGATAACGGTAGTGAGCGATTGTAAATAATATTGTTCTTGTACAAAGTGAATGTCTTCCTTTCGTATTGAATGCTTAGGTTACGTGGATTGATTGACGGTAACTAGAACAAAGTCATAACAAATGTGACTAGAAAAGATGTGAAAATAGTGAATTACATAATGCAATGAGTATGCAAGATTAATAAAAAAAACACAAGAAATAATAAATTACTAGTTTTGAATTAAAATAAATAAACAATAAGGTTCATTTTCATCTAATACAAAAACTGATCTAGTCTAACATGCTTTTAAATAAATTAAAAGAAAAATAATGGAAAATCATCACTCAGATCATGAAAAAATACAAAAGATATTGATCTTTAATTCCAAAGTTAAATTCTTCAAAATCTTGATGCAATTAGCTTCAATTCCTTGCTAGGGTATGATCGTCTCTCTTAAAAGTGATGAATTAACATCTAGTTTTTGATGAATTTGATGATATTGTTCAATAAAAAGAGGCAAGAGAGAGCTATTCCCATGTATAGCCCTTGTTTTGTATTTATAAGAGTGAAAAATGGGTCAAAATCACGTCCAATTTGTGTTCGAAAAGAGTTTGAATCTCGAAAGGAAATTGCTGATTCATCCATGAAAATAGCCTGTGTGCGTGCATCGACATAACTACCATGCATGTACCATTGAGTCTAATGGCTCTCGGTTTGGTGAAAAACAGGTATTGAGTGAGCGCCATGAATTGCCCTTGAGTGCGTCGGTTCACTTTTGTTTGTCCCTTAGCAGTTTTTAGTATTTGGGTCATAATTTTCTCTCTTGTTAGTCCATTGAGGTTATTCAAAGTGCGTTGAAAAGATAGCTTAAAGGGGTTACATATCTTCTAGAATTAAAAAAAATTCCAATTCAAACATTTGCTAATCGAAAAGTGGGTTTCAAGTTGAGACTAAAAATTCGAAACATAACTTTCTGTAAATTAATTTGTGAGAATAGTTTATTTATGTTTTACACATTTGACATCCAATTACATCTAATTGATCATATGTGATCTTCAATCATCATTTTATGGCTTGAATCAACTATTGAATGTTTATACTTTTGTCCCCAAACTTTGAATTTCTTTTGCTTTTGCTCATTTTCATTCCTTTATTTCAATTCCACCAATTTGCCTCAAGTTTTACCTAACAAACAAAACCGTCATCTAATTAAGCCATAATTCATCATAATTAATTACAATTTAACTTAGGAAAAATTACCAAACCTTTCAGTTTTAAGCATATTTGGCCTAAACCTTTATTTTGTTGCACCTATAGCATCAAACCTTATAAAAACTTGCACCTAGATTCCAAATTGATGATTTCTGTTACTTTCATCGTCAGTTGATCCAATAAATTGACTTTGACCAATTTCAAAATGGGTAAAATGATAACTTTGAATAAAAATTAAAAAACTAAAAATAAAAAAAATAAAAATCCAATCACTCTTCATCTTCTCTTTCCCCACGTGCACACCCTTGTTCTAAACCCAACCAAAAAATCCATCACCACAACCTCTTCACCGCATGTTGTCGGCATCCACCAAAATCCCATTAAGCTCTGTTGAGACCGATTGACCAATAATGTAGGAATTGAGATTTAATGAATACAATTTGTTGTAATTGAAGTAATTAACAAGATCACGAATAACCCAAGAACAAGATTAAAGTAAAGAAATAAAAGAATTGACAGAGGAACAGTATTATTTTATTCAATCAATGAAATGAGAGAATTACAGCAATAATGACTTTTTAACAATATTGAAAGAGGAGCCTTATATTTATAGTATAAAATTTAGCCCTAAAAGAGTCCCAAAAAAGGTAAGAAATCTAATGCAATTTAGACTCCTATTTAAGTCACACTTCTAACAATCTCAATTCCTGCATTATCGGTCAATCGGTCCCAACAAGTGGTATCAGAGCACTTGTTGGGACAGATTGACCAATAATGCAGGAATTGAGATTTAATGAGTTCCACTTGTTGTAATTGAAGAATTGAACAAGATCACAAATAACCCAAGAACAAGATTAAAGTAAGTAAAAAAAGAACTGGCAGAAGGAACGATGTTTTATTAATTCTCTATGAAAGGAGAGCACAATACAGCAAAAGGCTTCAACAATACTGAAAGAGGAGCCCTGTATTTATAGTATATAATCTAGCCCTAAAAGAGTCCCAAAAAAGGTAAGAAATCTAATGCAATTTAGACTCCTATTTGAGTCACACTTTTAACAATCTCCACCTTGACACAAATTCCGGTGCAACGAAGAAACTCCAAAATTTCTCCACCTTGAGAAATAATCCGTCTGCATCAGAATGAACTGACCAATCTCCTCAACGCAATAACCAAACTCTCCACGATAACACGTTCCCCCGCCCGGCGTCCGCAAGCGACACCCGGACCTAAACCCAGGTTCCCAAAATTCCTCTTGGAATTAACATTCACTGGACAGGGTCGAAACACACCCTGTAGCAGAAACCACACCAAATGCACAATCAGAAGGTCCCTTGCTAA